TAAGGTCTCGGATATTTCCCTCGGTCCATACATCCTGATGGGAATTTGGCTGTCACCTTTGCGCGGAGAAGGCGTTTGTACAGAGACTAAGGCTCCCTGTTGTACCCCGACCAGTAGACGGCAAAAAAGACAGAAAGCCAGTTTCTGATAACAAAGACGTCATTCAAGACCAGTCGCCGTAGGTCATGAGTGCATCACGACTGCAGTCCCCGTAACACTCCTTTGGCTGAAGGTCAACTCACCATACGTCCACGCGCATCCCACGCCACTAGACAGCGACAACGTACATCCCCACGCAGCCTACAACGTCGCGAGATGGTGACACCATGTGTCTGCACGCCTCCTACAAGACACGAGGCAGTGACGTCGGAGCGACACCACCTTATTGTCGGACAGCTTCCTCCTCCCCCTCTGGCCAATTGATTCCTGGACACCTCTCCCTCTTTGCTTACTACGGATTGGTTGCTTAAGCTTTTTCTCACTCTACCCTCCCTTATATTATTGTATTTTCCCGACGATGAAGAATCGAAAACGTACGTTCGCCTAACTTCCTAAACGCTTATATGGGCATCATCGCTGAACATAATTTCTAAATGTTGAAAACTTTTGCCTGCTTTCTCAATCGCATCAGACTGGTTAAGCGAGTTCAACACGAATTAAACTTGCGCGCACTCTTCGAAAACTCCCCTCCCCCTCATCAGGCTAAGGGGTAGAGACCGGCTACTGTTGCAAGCCACATCGAGGTGTATTTATTTATTCACCTGCAGCGAGGAAAACTGGCCTGGGGAAGAGAGTACCCCTGGCTAGGCAAAGAGGAAATAGATCGATTTCAAGTCCGATTCTCAAAGGTGCGAGTTCCGAGGTGGAAATCTGAGAACTTAATATAACTCACTGGAAAAGTTTTGCATTTTTGGTGACGCCTCGGAGACCTTGACAGGTTCTCGATTTTCAAAGCATCGATTGTCACTATTAGCCTGTGATTTGAATGTCCGGCCGAAATTGTCGGCCTGACAGCAAGTTCTGAATTTACATCTTCGCGCACTACATCTTGATCGGATAGATCGCCGACGATCATAGTAATGACTGGGTGGCGGTAGGCGCGTT